AAGTTTGTTGGGAAGGCATGAATCGGCGCGACAGCGACACGACTTCTTCGAGAAGATCGCCATGAGTGTCATTATATATATGCACAATTTGAGAAGAACTTTAGTGCCTCAAAGAAAGAAACAAAAAACTATCGGACGGAGCAGATCGTATATGAACTCTTCTTTTTTATTCTTTTTTATATTAATGCCTCGTAATCAATATGACTTGGTGATTGGTGGATAGTGGTTTATATACAAAACTTATATACTTATGATTAGTGTGAATATACGATTGATATATTAGACTATTTTTATACTACATATTAAGGGTTTTAGTATGTAAGCAATAAGTTGTAAAGTATTTATTGGATTGGCTACTCTCTTATTTATTTTATTTATTGTGAGCACGTTCCCACGATTGATCTAGAAATTTTTATAGAAGAAATTAATATCTTTTAATAATAATATCTAAATTCATCTAAACCATTATATTCCTTATAGTTAAATTTATAATCATGACCTACATTGTATATATTTAAGTGCATCGTACGTATTATTAGAAATATATTCTATATAAAAGTTTTTAAAAAAATCAAATAAATATATTATTGGCTTTAAAATATTTAATATTTAATTAATCTTGCACTAATGACGTGTGTCGTTTCGTGTGTCAAAGATAAGCTCAGCCATTGAGCTAGATCAAAGTCTAAGATGGAGATAAAGGACATCGACACGGTGTCAAAAGAATATTCTAAAATTATAATATTATACAAAACTTAATTATATACTTATGATTAGTGGGAAAACAGATCTTTAATTTTCAAATATTATATGAATAGAGAAAACACATAATACCTGAAAATAAGTTCATGATAAATTTAGTAATATCATTTTTAATTAGTGGGAACAGATATTTAATTTTCAAATATCGTATAAAATATTATATGAATAGAGAAAACATACCTGAAAATATATTTATGATAAATTTAGTAATATCATGTTGACATATTATTATTTTTTACCTAGGGAGTGGAAAAATTTTTAGAATTGTTTGTCACAATTATAGTTGTTTTTATTTTAAAAATGCAGCCTAGTTTAGCTATTATATAATCTATTTTTTTATTTTATTTACATTTTTCATGGATGTTTCGATGACATGCGCCTAATTAGAAACTCTAAATAACGTATATTTTGCATAGTAAATATAGGCAGTTTACTTATAAGTGAGAAAGAGAAAACATATTTTCATCTAATAAGTGACAAAGAGAAAAAAGAATGATGTGGGCCCAGCGTCGTACGTTCGTATCAAAGTATGGACATACTTTTTTTTTTTTTGGAATACCTAGCTACGTGCACAGACAATGTGAGTTTTTTTAGATAAATTTAATTGTATTGTTATAATAGATCTAATGCATAGAAATAATGGGTCCACCGGATTCTAAAATTTATTAGAACGCCACGTGGTGACCTAGGAGTGTTTTTGGAATGCTATGTCACTACTTAAAAAAGCATTTTTGTAGGCGGCCAAAAGTAGTTTTGCCAGGCGGAGGGAAGGACCGCCTATAGACCAACGACTGCGAAAATCGATAATTTTCGCAGGCAGGCCATTGGGCCGCCTGCGAAAATCCTCTGGACGAACAAAAAAAAATCGCGCCCCACCGGCCGCGCGCCTCGCCGCCGCCACCCTCCCCCGGCCTCCCTCCGGCCGGATCTAGGAGGGGAGGGGAGTGGAGATGCGCCGAGAGCCGACGTCGTTGCCCCGCACGTCGCGCTGTGGCCGGCCCCGCGACTCGCCGCCGCCGTCCTCCCCTGGCCTCCCTCCGGCCGGATCTGGGAGGGCAGGGGAGCCGCGCCGGGAGCCGAAGCTGCCACCCCGCGCCGTGGCCTGCCCCGCGCCTTGCCGCCGCCGCCCTCCCCCGGCCTCCCCATGGCTGGATCTGGGAGGGAAGGGGAGGGGAGCCACACTGGGAGCCGCCGCCGCCGCCCTGCGTCGTGGCTTGCTCAGTGCCTCGCTAGAAGCCGGGAGCCACCGCCCGCCGCCGCCTCCGGCCAGCGGCCGGGGAGAGGAGGAGAGGGGAGGGGAGAGGACACTGGTGTGGAGGGACGTGGGAGAGGAGTGAGGGAGAATGAAGACTTAGAAAAAGATCAGCCCTAGGTCAGCTCTATTTATATCCAAGTTTATTTTCGCAGGCGGAGGTCCGCCTATAAAAATGAAGGGTATTTTTGCAGGCGGACCTCTTAAATGGTCCGCCAACAAAAATGGATTTTCGCAGACGGACAGCAAGCTTCACCCAGTTTGCATTTTGTAGGCGGCTATTTGGCTTCGAGGGTCATGTCCGCCTGCGAAAAAAATACCCAATATTGGCGAAAATGCTTTTTCTAGTAGTGTGGTGGCTTAGGAGCGTTTGTATAGGAAGTTTAATGGACTTTTAGTATATAATATATAGAGATATTTGTGTACAAGTTATACAGGAGGTTTTATAATGTAGTAATATTGTAATAACGTGCACTACAATTATACAATTATACCATAAGTACATTGAAATTTTTTTAGAAAAACTATATATATAGATAGGAATGATATATGTATCATTAATTTAGTATACAGCCTCCGTTTTATATTATAAATCTTTGAATTTTTCTTAGTCAAAGTTTTTTAAGCTTTGACCTAGAAAAAGTAGCAACATCTACGACATCAAATTAGTTTCGTTAAATTTAACATTGTATATATTTTGATACAATACTTGTTTTGTATTGAAAATGTTATTGTATTTTGCTACAAACTTAGTTAAATTTAAAGAAGTTTGGCTTAAAAAAGGCAAACAATTTATAATATGAAATGGAGGGAGTAGATTTCTTTGTATATCAATCTTTTAATCATTTATCTATTAACTAGTGGAGAAACGATCTTTAATACCAGTTGAAAACCCCTTTAGTACTGGTTATTAGTACCGGTTGAAATAACCTGTACTAAATATGCATACCAAGTCAAAAAAAAAAATAAATCAAGACTAAAGATCTCGATTTTTTGGTACCGGTTGGAATAACCACATACCAAGTCAAAAAAAAATGTGAGTTTCAAACTCAAGATATCTCGCCTTAACTCCCACACGTGTTACAATCCCACCTACTACACACATCTGACATCTGACTTGGATATAGATGTTTTCTTTTTGAATTAACACCGGGACTAAAGATGGGTCCTCCTGATACGTGAGTGATCACGGGACGGATGCATGAGCAATCAGGAAACAGTAAAATAGAAAAAAGCCCACGCACGCGATCACTCCGCTTGCTCCCAATCGCTACGCGCGATCAATCCCATGCCCCCTATACACTCCTCTCCCCCCTTCCTGCTCGGAAAGGCTAAGGGGCAATCGATTGCCCCAACGCGGTCCCCCCTCCCTCCATGAGTTTCCTTTTTCGGCACCGCCTTACTTTTCTATTTAAGTAAATTTATAGACCTAAAGTTTGTACACCTCAAATTTACACATATAAAGTTTAGAGACTCAAAGTTTATAAGTCAAAAGTTTATATATCCGATTCAAATTTGAATTTGAATTCAAATACTTTTTATATATAGTATTTCTATACATCTAAAGTTTATAACCTAAAGTTTATAGACCAAAAGTTTATAAGTCAAAAGTTTATATAAACGATTTCAAATTTGAATTTGAATTATAATCTTTAGGTGCATAAACTTTAGATGTATTGAAATACTATATATAAAAAATATTTGAATCGGATATATAAACTTTTGATTTATAAACTTTGGGTCTCTAAACTTTAGATGTGTAAACTTCAGGTGTACAAACTTTAGATGCATAAATTCACTAAAATAGGAAAGTAATGCGATGCCAAAAAAGGAAACCAGATGCAGGAGATCAGGAGGGGGGGGGGCGACACGATCACCCCTAGCGAGCGATCGCCCTTTAGGAGTTTCGACTAAAGATCCTGCAACATTATCCCTTTAGGTGTTTCGACTAAAGATCCTGCAACATTATCTATTTACTAAAGATGTATTTTTAGTAACGGTTGGTGCTAAAATGTTTCTATGGATTTGGACTTTTAGAACCAGTATTAAAACTGATTTAATACCGGTTCTTAATCTAGCTGAGATATTTGTGATTTTGGATACCACGACGAAAGATAAATTCTCCGGTAGGAAATTTTGGAAAAGCGAGCACTGCATGAGTGCTTTAGAATCTCCTCTATCTTTTAAATCGTGCTATTTAATTTAAGTCTTTCTATAGTATAGTAGTAGTAGTAAAAAGGAATATAGGCACCTTTTTTTCTTAGAGAGAATATACATCATGTACTTTAGGTCCGTACTAGTATGTAATCTATCTTTTAAGATCATCGCCCTGTTTTTCCGGGGAAAGAGAACTTTAATTAATTCATTAATCAACGACCAAAGGAGAAATCATCGCCTTTGTTATACTCCCTCCGTCTTTTAATAGATGACGCCGTTGACTTTTTTTCACATGTTTGATCATTCGTCTTATTCAAGAATTTTATGCAAATGTATAAGATATAAATCACACTTAAAGTACTATGAGTGATAAAACAACTCATAACAAAATAAATTATAATTATGTAAATTTTTTGAATAAGACAAATGGTCAAACATGTGAGAAAAAGTCAATGGCGTCATTTATTAAAAAACGGAGGTAGTATTTATATACGTGCGACCGCGTGTGCACCCTTAACCTTTTTCAGTCGTCTTGGCAAGTCAGCCAGCATGCATGCAGGAGCTAGCAGGTTGCTTCGTCTGAGCTATACGCACATCACAATTGCAGCAGGCAGACACATGATTTGATCGAATCCGAACCTTTTAAGTCGTCTTCTCAAGTCGTTTTGTATTAGTAAAACAAAAGGAGGAGGTTAATTTGTTTCGTCAGATCACAGACAGCAGGGCTCGGGCACAAACAAGTGATGGCTTCGATTATGGCTCGGTGCATCTATCTATATATATTAAGAGGTCCAGTACTCTCTGATCGATCTATAGCTTCCCTACTACTACTACTAGCTTCTTTCCCTTTCCAATGGCGTCCATCCTTGTCGAGAATGGTACCCTCACCCCGGGTTTCATCCAATTCATCGTCGCCCTCACCACCCTGCTCATGGTGATCCGCTTCGGCCTGGACGCCTTGCGGCACCGGTCACGGGGCAACGTCACGCAGATCGTCCTCGCCACCCTGGACACGGTGACACACACGATGATCACCTACAGCCTCGGGATCATGCAGCACCGCTCCGCGACCACCAGCTACTACCAGCTGTGGGCGGTGCTGCTGGTCACCCTCCGCTACAGCGTCAAGATCGGCCGCCCCGCCGGCATCGCCATGAAGCAGACCCCGCTGTTCGATCTCATGTCCTCCTTCTGGACCGCCCACATCCTTCGCTCCCATAGTGTCAGCATGCTTCTCAAGGTCCCCGGTTGGTTGCTCTGGTCCATCAACTCCGCGCGCATCATCCATGGATTCATCTCCTCGGCAGATGCGAGCAATGTCCACAGGGAGAATATGAGGTTGCTGACAGACTACATGCGCCATGAGCATACAACGACCGTGCAGGTGCAGAGGCCTGACCCTAGCTCGATGAAGGGCTACAGATACTTGGTCTTGGGGGAAGGTAAGAAGCTGAAGAAAAGGGAATTAGCCGAACAAGGCGTCGATGGTGTGGAGACAACAGAAGCGATCAACAGGATATTGCTGGCGCTGCTGACAGATGAGAACAATATTGACCAGGAGCTCGTCACGCTTGAGAGGATCTGGAGCCACCAGGGGCGATGCTCCCACGATGGCTGCCAATGCAACCTGCCGCCCGGATGCTGCGACATTCTTGACCAGAAGACCAAGGACCTCTGCCTCTCCTTTGCCCTTTACAAGCTCCTCCGTAGGAGATTCTTCAATTTACCTATCCATGAGGCGAGACTGCAAAAGACGAGGCGGCTGGTTGTTTACGGGATCCTCGGCGAGGGCGATGCTGCCAACTACAAGAGGGCGTTCCGTGTCAGCGAGGCCGAGGTGGCTTTCCTCAATGATTTCTTCAACAGCAGGTAATATATATATATATATATATATATATATATATATATATATATATATATATATATATATTAAATTTGTTTGGTGCTCCATAGTACCCGGGCACCATTGTTGAAATTGAGTATATACCCAATTCAAATGAGCATGAAACTTTTTCAATTATTTAGGTATTAATATTAACTACTTTACTAACTAGTTGAAAGCAAGTTTGAACTGAATTTGAACTTGTTTTTGTTAGATTTTGATTCTAGGTATATAGCATCCATACATATAATTAGTTAGGTATGTAATCATGGATTGTGAAATAAAGTTAAATTTGAGTTGTTTTGTTGATAGGTATAGGTATGAATCGAATTCTTATAACTAGGTATATACTCACAATTTGAAAATTTTGAAAAATTTGAGTGATTTTGTGCATTTGAAACCATGGTGCCCGGGCACCATGGTGCCCCATATGAGTGTCCTATATATATATATATATATATATATATATATATATATATATATATATATATATATATATATATATATATATATATTCAATTTGGATATGCATCACCATGTACTGTCTCCATCCTAAAATAATATAAGATTTTAGTATTACATGGAACACATCCTTACTATGAATCTAAATAGCTCTCTGTCACATTCAATATTAGATTCTTAATTATATTTTAGACAAAAGTAGTATAGTAGTTACTCCCTCCATCTCAAAATAATATAATAGCCTAGAACTGAATGCTACAATGTATCTGGACATGGAGTCTGTCTAAATACGTTGTAATATAAAAACTAGCATGGTGGCCCGCGCAGATTGCGCGCCTGGCAGCATTATATTTTCTCTCATATAATAGTATATATGTTTTCTCATTATATTATTCAAATATATTAAAATGACAACATAATTTTAAATTTTGCAATAACTTTACAAAACTACTAATGTGTAATATTCCTATTGTATTTTATATACGTGTTAGTTATTAATTATTTTTAATATCAAATTTTAGTTATTTGTAAATTATATATTTCCTATATGGACTCTAGACTCGTCTTTTAATATTTTTTTTTAATTTCGAATTTTCTGTAAATTGTATTTCTATATAGACTCTATGCTCTTCTTCCAATACTATTTATTTTTATTTCTGAATTTTTATTATTTCTAATTTTATTTCTAAGTGGACACTAAACTTATCTTTCAATATTCTTTAATTTTTAATTTCGAATTTCAGTTACTTCTAAATTGTATTTCTGTATTGACTTTAAACTCTTATTCCCATGTTTTTCTTAATTTCGAGTTTTAGTTATTTGTAAATTGTATTTTTATACGGACTCTAAACTCTACTTTTAATTTTATTATGTTTATTCTAAATTTTAGTTAGTTTTAAATTCCTATATGGACTCTATACTCTACTTCTAATATTCCTTATTTTTTAATTCCGAATTTCTATTTTTTTTTCTTAATTGTATTTCTATATGAACTCTATACTCTACTTCTAATATTCTTTGTTTTTTAATTCCGAATTTTTTTTTCTTAATTGTATTTCTATATGGACTCTATACTCTACTTCTAATATTCCTTATTTTTAATTTCGATTTTCAGTTATTTTCTAATTGTATTTCTATATGGACTCTATACTCTATTTCTAATATTCCTTATTTTTAATTCCGAATTTCAGTTATTTCCTAATTGTATTTCTATATGGCCTCTGTACTCTACTTTTAATATTCCTTATTTTTAATTCCGAATTTCAGTTATTTTCTAAACGTATTTCTATATAGACTCTAGTCTCCTCTTCTAATATTCCTTATTTTTTAATTCCGAATTTCAACTATTTCTAAATTGTATTTCTATATAGACTCTAGTCTCCTCTTCTAATATTCCTTATTTTTTAATTCCGAATTTCAGCTATTTTAAATTGTATTTCTATATGGACTCTGCCTTTTCTTTTTCTTCGATTAATGTGAGAATTTCTAGGCCATGAGAGCGAACGTAGAGGCTCCTTTTTCTATTCCTTTAATAATATAATAGATAGATAGATAGATGTTTCATCCAGTCCTAGATTCTTATGTTTTGAGACGGCGGTAGTAGTAGTTTATGTTTTGTTGGTTAGTCCGTTCATGTTTCACTTAACTGGTCAGGATTTGATTCATTTGTTGCTACTCTTATTTTCGTTATCTATTGTCAATCTCCTTTTTCCTCACTTTACTCACCGCATTGTCCAATTATTTATATTCATCTTTACTTGTTAGGACTGAGAAGTTGCACCAGTTTACTAACTGGAGTATTTTTCTTCTTCTTCTAGTTAGGATAAAGAAACTATTAATATTGTCTTGAAAAATATACATCCGCTATTCGAAAACATCTTGAGTAATTAGACAATTTGTTTTAACTGCAGACTTTGCAATTGTAACTTCTTTCAAATAAATAAATGGCAAAATGATTTCTATTATCTTTAAAAAATATATTAAGCAAGTTTTTAATTGTGGGAAACAAAAAAAAATACTCTAATTTGCTATTTCGTTTGTGTTTTTTAAATATCGTTGTGTAAGTCTTGAATACCTATGCTAAGAATTCTGCGTCTTGAATACCGGCAGGTATGCTATCATATTCGCTCAAGGTTTTCCCTGGATCCGACTTGTGCTAACCACCCTTCTGATTGGGGGCATCTCAAGTGTGGCGGTTGCTGTCTATAGATTTTCTAAGTCTGCTAAAGAGGATGAGCTAGGCAGAGTCCATATCCATCATGGAGTATATTTTACATGGGTAATTCTCTCCCTGCTTGGAGCAAAAGAGATATGGGAGATGACAACCTATGTTTTCTCGGACTGGACTAAGGTACTATTGCTGTGCAAGTTCGTAGAGCAGCCATGGTGGATGCGATGCTGGGTGGGCAACTTGGCACGGGCTCTGATGAGGATGCTCCTCTGTAGCCCCCCTTTGTTCAGAAGATGGCATGGCAAGGTCGGGCAATTCAACCTTCTCTTCTCTAGACATTCCTCGATCCATCTGTCCCAACAAGTGAAGGAGGCTGTGGTTGACTCCCTCAGGAACTCGGTTAGGCAAAACCTGGTGCTGAACAATTACCTGGAGCAGGCAATCAGCAAGAACTCGCTTAGGATAAGGCTGGTGAGGCCGTCGGACAACCAGGAGCAGGAGCAGGCGCCCCAGAACTCCCAGGCAGATGGCGGCCACCGTGTGAGTGTGGAGTGGCTACAGGATTCGCAAAAGAAGAGTGTGGAGTGGCAGCTACAGGACGATGTGCACACGCTACTAGTTTGGCACATAGCTACATGCTACTGCGAGCTTAAGCTCGCCGAAACAAGAAATGTTGGAGCGAATTACACTTGGTTGAGCTGGAGAGGCTTCGGCTGCAGGAGGAGGCCGTCAGATGCTGATAATCCTTGGAGGCCTCACTACTTGGTGTCTAGGACATTGTCGCAGTACTGTGCTTATTTGCTCTGGCTGGTTCCTCCTCTCTTGCCGGGGAACAGCCTAATGGCGAAGGCGGTGATCACACAAGTTTACAGGGAGAGAAACCGTCTTCTTGGTAGAAGAGTATATCTACCCTTTTCCTGGTGTACTTCAACCACCAAAGTTCTTGACAAGCTCGAAACATATAGATCGGGGGAGATACAGTTATTTGCCGATGAAGCAGGAAACGCTAATACCACCATTCTCAGGAAGGGAGCAGAACTAGGCATGGGCCTAATTACAGCGGCGAGGAGCGCTGACAGCGAAGCTCTGTGGAAGTTCCTGTCGGATTTCTGGGCAGGATTCGTGGTGCACTTGGCTGAATCAACCAAGGCTTCGCAGCACAAGATGTATCTGACAGCCGGCGGGGAGTTGTCGACGCATCTCTGGGCGCTGCTATCCCATGCCGGCTACCTAGGGGCCACGCCGCACGGCGACCAAACGTCTGATACGGTGCTCCAGCAACTCCAACCTTACAACCCGGATGTGCAACTTTAAGTTAAAGGGAAAATGCCTTTTTTTTTTAGTTTGTGATGTCAAGCTTTCGTGTTTAGATTGGTATGATTATGTATACTTAGTATTTGGTTGTTTCTACTTGATTTGATTTGATGCATTGTGTTTGTCCAAAATAATACGGTGTAATTTGTTTGTGAGAAATGTACTACTAGTTGAATTCCCCATGTAATTGCGTGGAGAGCTATCTGAAATAAAACTGTACTATTTGTTATCCATCTCTGTCTCTATTTACGAAATGGCATGTAGCCTAGTGGTTACAGTGACCACTAGAGACCCCAAGGTCTTGAGTTCAAATCTCCTATGGAGCGAAATTCAGATTGGGTTGTTTGCAGGGCTAAGTTCCCTATTTCAATGGCTGTATATATCCGGTTGGATGTAGAGGTCGGGTAAAAAAATACCCTTCTCTAAAAAAAAATCTATGTCTCTATTTGTTGAAGTACAATTGTTGCTTGCAGGAAGCCTAGAATTAATGTCGCCTAGGCGCACGCCTCTCCCCCGCACGACGCAGCCACGTGGCGCGCAGAGGGTTATACATACATACAGACACACATACATATACATATATGTATATATGTATACATATACTGTCGACGGGGGATACCAGATATAGATTATACTGGTTCAGGCCCCTTAATAGGTAATAGCCCTAATCCAATTGATATGGGATTATAAGATGGAAATCACAGATTATAAAGGGAATAGTGGAACTCAATGATACCGACGAGATCGTAGTCGAGTTGGTTCGACTAGATCACCCGGCGACTTGGCTCCTATAGGCTTCGGCTTCGTAGGCTATGGTAGATGTGTTGGCGGTAAGATTCGATGCCTTAGGTCCTCCTGGGGGTCCTTTTTATACCACAGGTCAGTTGGCCTCCAAGTAGGACTCGGAGACATCGGACCCTGCACGATACAATAACGACCCAGTTCTATCCGAGTAGGAATCTTTCCATATGTGGACTCCATGATGAATTTCCTTAGTGTGTACAAAGAACGTCCGTATACGCGCAGATATACCATATCGATGCATGACGTATATCCAAAGGTAAAGGGTATACCTTATCCGTAACCCTGACATATACATATATATTTTAGAAGTAACTTATAACAAAAAGAAAAAAAGAAAAGAAAAGTAACTTGTCACGACTAAAAGGAAACCTACGGTAAAAACGTAAGTCTATTTAGTAATTAAATTTAATTGGCATATTATAGAACTAACCGATAAAGTAAGTTGGTCATTGGATGTCTATAAAGTAATTTAATCTAAAAGTAAATTTATATATATGATAAAAGTAACTTATATATATAATAAAAGTAATTTATAACATAAAATTTTTTTCATCATAATATAATTATGTAAGATTTTGTTAAAAAGATTTAATTGCAATGAACACAATGATGTAATCGGATTGTAATTTGGATAAATAATTTAAGAAAAAACTTTATTTTGAATTTTAGATGTTAGAAAGTAGATGGGGTCTGTGACAAAAGTAACAGATGAAATTGGAAAAGTGAGAGGTGCCGGTTTAAGACTAACGCGCTACCTAGACGCGTCCGCCTATTATGACATAAATAAATATATACGAAGCCACATTTTTCTAAAATGAAACTGAAAATGTAAAATGCATGTTTGGACAAGTTTGCCAAAATTAGGGGCCAGAAAAATGAAACCTGAGACAATTATTCTGTTTTACATAAACACAAATATAACATGGCACATATCACACGTACTGCATGTTACACTAACAAAACACCGAAAGCTCTTGATAAGAATCTTGATAGGAATCTTGAGGATGCCATAAACACTGATAGGAGATTAGGAGTACGAATGGTAGGAGATTAGCGAACTGCTTACCGTGCTCGTAGCTAGCGCGCGGTGAACAAACGTGGCGGATCCGTTAATTATTTCTCATCCTAAGTTGCGTTCTTCCTCAGAGTGGCGTGCTGCAGCTGCTGCACGATGAAGCAAAGCAGAGTGATGATGGCAACGATGCCGAGAAGCAGCCATGGGTTGGGGCAGTTGGCGTGTCCTCGCACCCAGCAGAGCAGCCTCAGCGTGCGGCTGCGGCAGTGCTCCTCGACCGCCCGGTACACCGGCCTGAGGTAGTTGTATGCGTCGTCGTCGGCGTCGAAGATGATGCCGTCGCAGAGCCTCCTGAGCCCGTCGGCGACGTCGCCGTCGCCGCCGAGCTGGTGCTCGATGACCCCGGACTCGCAGAGCAGCGCCACGTCCTCGGCGGTGCCGGCGAGCTGCGACATGAAGGCGCAGTACGCCGTGACGTAGAGCCCCACGTGCGGGCTCCCTTGCTCCAGCAGGATGAGGTTCGCCATCTGCCTCCACGTGCCGCCGTCGATCTCCAGCCGCGGGATCTCCAGCACGCCGCCGTGGAACGCCACGTCCAGGATGCTGCCCGCCGGAGCCGCCTTGCCTCCGATCTCCAGCTTCTTGAGCCGCACCATGAGCTCGCGGAGCTGCGTCGCGCGGCGCAGCCGGCCCACGGTCGCGCCGCCGCCGCCGCTCCAACGCGAGCTCTGGCGCCGGGTCCTTGGTCTCAGGTACATGTGGCTGAGGTGAAGCAGATGGTGGACGTGGTCGGCGGCGGGTGGCTGCGCCTGCGCGCCGGCTCCATCCGCGTACACGGCCATCACCTCCCGCACGTACGCCTCCACGGCGCCCACGACGCCGCGCTCCGCGTATGGACGGTTCTTGACGAGAAGCTCGTAGATCTTCTGCACCACGAAGAACGGGATCTGGTTCTCCGCGAGGAAGAGATCACGCGCGACGTTGAAATGGTGCCAGCTATCGTCGCCGCCACCGCCGCCGTTGTTCGCCGCGGCGATCTGATTCTCCTCGTCGCCCTGCTGATCCGAGCAATCGGAGCAACGATCGTCCGAGTTCTCCGACAACAAGCTCTCCGTACTCTCCTCCGCCTTCCATCCTGGAGTCAGCTGCTTGAGCCGCTCCGTCCCGCGGAGCGAGACGAGGACGAAGCAGCCGTCGAGGAGGAGCATCTGCGCCAGCGCCTCGTCGTCCATGCCGATCTCGTCGGCGTAGTACTCCTTTGCTCGATCCAGCACGCTCCTCATCTGCTCGAGCAAGTCGTGGCGGCTCCTGCCGCTCAGCTGGACGACCTCGTCGACGCATTGCTCCTTCAGCCTCTGGGCCTTCTCCGGCGCCGGCACGCCGGAGCGGGCATGGTAAGGGCCGACGGGGAAGGCCAGTGGCTTGTAATGCTCCGGGTTGCTGCTTCGGATGTGATCGGGAGCTTTGGAGATGTGGCATCGTTGCTGGTCGCTAGTCATCCTCAACACTGCACACATCGAAAAATAAAAAGCACAGTACGTAGGCGTAAGTAGTACACCCTCCGTTTCAAAAATGTTTAACACCGTTGACTTTTTAACACATGTTTGACCGTTCGTATTATTAAAAAAAATCTGTGAAATATATAAAACTATATGTATGCATGAAAATATATTTAACAATGAATCAAATGATATGAAAAGAATAAATAATTACTCAAAATTTTTTTAATAAGACGAATGGTCACACACGTATTTTAAAAGTTAACGGTGTCAAACATTTTAAAATGGAGGGAGTATATATGGTAATGGTGAGAGTGGCGTTGCTGGTCGGTTGTGCACGAGGCAGCGCCAAAATACCGGTGTTGTGCGTGCAAGCATGTCTCAACGGTTGACCATGTATCATTTGGTGGGCAAATCTAGCTAGGACACGTATATATCCAGACATGACACTCCAAGTGAATAATTGCTAACCAAGGGTTAATTACGGTCTCTTTTAGCGAGTTTGCTATGTCTCACTCGAAAGATTTTTTTTCTTATCTCTTACTCGATTTTCTCACTTAAATTTACAGTGCATTTTCTTGTAAGTTACAATGTAATTTATGAAACTTATATTGTAACTTTTGTAAGTTACAGTGTAATTTTTTAATCTTCGTATGTAAGTTTTAAAATTTGTATTGGATTTGGTCTTTTTCTTAAAGATATGGTAATTTAGTGTTCATTATGGTGTCTCTTAGTTGCTTTTTATCTTTTATTGTGTCTATCGAATTTTAATCTAAAGATTAAAAATCTGTACGATACGATTATAAAAATCTTTCGAAAGATACGTACGTACTCCCTAGGTTGGCGGGGCCGCGAGGAAGAGTACACGGCCCACGCCTGAAATTGATCGGGCGGAAAGCACGGCCCAATTTTGACGAAGGCCTAAAAGGAAGCGGAAGTGACTTACTGTAGACTGTAGTCGCTGTGGGCTTCGCACATAAGGCCAGAAACAAGATAGACAGGCATGTCTTTTGTCCTTTCTATTTGGAAAAAGTACACCGCAGGTCCCTCAACTTGTCATCGAGTTACAAAATCATCCTTGAACCATAAAACCAGATACAACGTATCCCCCAACTTACAAAACCAGTGCAAATTAGGTCCTTCGGCGGTTTTATCTGACTTGGCAGCTCTCAGCGTGAGACTCACGTAGATTCCACATGTCATCCTCTTCTTCCCCTCCCCTATCCACCTCTCTTCCTCTCTCATCCTCTTTCCATGGGCGACGGTGACGGAGAGTAGCTGGGCACGGTGCAGCAGGCGCGGGCGGTGGGGGAGCAATTGGGCGGGGCCGATGGCCAGCGGAGGAGGTGCGGGGCGCAGATAGCGGGGGCAGAGCAAGGCGCGGGCAACAGCTGCCGAGAGAGGAGCTGGGCGGCGGCGGCGGCGGCGGGGGAGGAGATGGGCGTAGCCAGTGGCCGGCGGGGGAGGTTGGAGAGGATGTTAAGGTCGGTGAAGAAGGCGATGATGGCCATGGTGAGGAGCATGGCGATGGTGGCGAGGAGGGCGCAGAGCTGGCCGGCCTCAGCAACGGCTCGATGCTTCCTCGTCGTCGCCGTCGAACTCCATGTTTGCTTGCGCCTAGCTCCTCCCCCTCCTCCGCTGCCCAGCTCCTCCCTTACCGCCACTGGCGGCGTGGGAGGGCGCGTGGGCGAGGGAGGCCGTGCGGCACCGGTGGGCGGCGGTCCATGGCCATAGATTTGGCGCCCACGCCGTTGGCGGCGGCGATGGTGGCAGCAGCATGGGGGGAGGCGGAGGCCCTCCTGCTCCCACGTCGTTGCCGTCGCTGCCTCGTCGCCTGGTGCACTAGCGCCTCCCCCATCAGCCTTCTCCCCTTCCGCCGGCTATCATGCCCAATTGAGAAGAAGTGAGAGAAAAGAAGAGGTGAGAGGAAGAGAGGTGGGGAGGGGAGGGGTAGAAGAGGCTGACATTGGGACCCATGTAGGTCCTACATTGAGTCAGCTGCCATGTCTGATAAGGAGTCAAAACCGCCGAGGGATCTAGTTTACACTGGTTTTGTAAGTTGGGTGATGCATTTGTATCCGGTTTTGTGGTTCAAGGATGATTTGTAACTGAATGAAAAGTTAAGGGAACTTTGGTATACTTCTTCCTTTCTATTTGTTACATTTAGGTAGGTGTGCGGAAAGTTAGTGGGGAAGTGGGCGAATGTTCATCCACAGCCGATACACATACTTTCTTCTTCTGTTTTCATTTTTTTTTATGCTTACTCTTTTATTTCTTTCGTTTTTATTTTCTTCGTTTCCTCTTTTTACGCGAATGTCCGCAGGGTACGTAGTGTTTCTGTTTTCACTCCCATTCTTTTCCGATTTCAGCTTTTTAGTTATAGTCTTCTTTTAACGGACTTTTTTTAATGAACTACTGAGTGAGAAACATTCTACATAAAGATTTATTTTAATAAAACTTTTATATACATAGACTTTATATATATATATATAAACCTTATATGTGTAGACTTTATATATACAAATTATATATATAAATTATATATGCAATTAGAAAGTTTGGTGTATAATTTTTCATAGAAATAAAAAAGCTGATCCATCACCGGATATATATATTTTTTTAAAAAAGGTAAAGTACAATGCAAACAAAAGGAAAAAGATAAAGATAAAGCATGTATGGACTTTTTTAACCGAAACAACAAAATTGGTTGAGCGTAAATCATGGCTAGAACTGTCATTGTGTACAGATAATGATGAGACGCGAACCGTACGTTCATCGACTAGTCTGACCTGTAGGAGGACGGGTGAACGCTATACAGGAACACCCTTGGTAACGTCCCGCTCCTCTTGCTGCCCCCGGCCCAGCCTCACAAATCAGTCGGGTGAAAAACATCAGCTACCCACCCTTGCCCTATACTTCTATAGGGGACTCGGTGGGTGAGCGAGCTGGTGCCTACATCATCAATGTTCATGAGTGAGGATGTTGCATTGGCTACCGATGGTGAGCGGCGATTCGTAACGAGACGACAATGAGGCGACGAGTCAGGGGCGGCGACGATAGGTCTACTCCCTCCGTCCAAAAAAAAGGCAAACCGTGGGTTTCCGTGCCAACGTTTGACTGTCCATCTTATATGAAAATTTTTTATAATTAGTATTTTTATTGTTGTTAGATGATAAAACATGATTAATACTTTATGCGTGACTTATCTTTTTAAATTTTTTTTATAATTTATTCAAATAAGACGGACGGTTAAACGTTAGACACGGAAACCAGGGTTTGTCTTTTTTTTGGGACGGAGGGAGTATGGCTCAGCCATATGGTTGGGTGAAACATCAACTGTTGGAGCTGAGGCGGCGTTCGACTGCTGGGGCCGACGATGCACGGCTCTAGGCGACTGGAAGCAGGCGAGAGCTCCGATCCGATAGGGTGTCGTACGTCCAGTGAGTCAGGGAAGAGCAGCCGCTGGCTGGGGAGCGTGGCTTGGAGAGTGAAAGGGTGAGGAGGGGTTTGGAACTTAGGAGATTGGGGAAAATTATGGTTGAGTTTAATGAGTCAGCTGGGCCTCTGGAATGGGCTAAGCAACTCAGTGGTTCATTTCCATTTGGGCTGGATGGCCGCAAGTCACTAGCTAGTCGGGCTGGTCTACTATATATACTGGCAGCGACCAATTTAACTGGTGATATGTTAAACGCTGATCACATGGATGATGGATTCATAAGCGTACGTATAGCCGTATCATTAAGGCCTAGCAATTTAGAACTTACAAGCAACCACTTGTCGCTATGCATGGAACGAAAAAGAAAAAGAGAAGTTCACTGCACAGAGCAGGTCGCGATCTACAATAAAATAAGGCCTCGGTCATGTTGGACTTCCCTCCGGTTTCCGAAGAGCTAGATCATGCGACTTGGGTTTGGCTAAATTAGGCTTGAATGAATTTACTTTATTACCACCGACCACCGAAGACCTTTTGAATTGCCTTCGCTCTAAAAAGCTAGGTCACCAAAATAGATTCTAATTTCTCGAGTGAATGTCTATCTTTTTCTTTCAAATTTAATACAAATAGTTATAAAACAAACTAAACAATTCACAATGTAGAGTACAGCCGATAACTATCACTCCACCAACCTACATGTTAGAAAAAAAAAAGGAAAAGACAAATTCAGGTATTAATAGTACCACTACATTTCATATGCTGAGTTTATATATTTTAATGTGTGAGTTAAGGTTGTACATAAAATTGTATGTTGTATGAAAGTTTTCAAACTTTTTTGAGAATTTTTCATAACCATTTATATAATTTTTAAATAAATGAGATTATATCTTCTCATAGGATCAAAACCGTTCCCCTCTTCCTCTACCTATCACTAAAATGAGACAGAGAAATCATATACCATACTGGTAAATCAACACACAAAGTAATAATTAAGAGCAAATGCAGTCTGAGAGTCTTATTCTAGTTTATCGTCTGAAAGTCCAATTTTTAGCTTACATCAAGTTAAGTTAACCCGTCTTAATCTGATCTTTAGAACGTGGGCTCATTACAAATTTATTCACCGAAACAGTGTTAATCAAGTTCAAGGTCTTCATCCCAAAAACTCTTTTCAAAAGAAGACCTAGCTTACGTCTCCCTTGGAGTCTAGTCCCCTTGCCAGATCAAATTTGCAACTAAACTGAAACGAACAAGAAGACCTTACTGTCTAGTCAACCCTCCCCGCCACCGCCACCGCCACCGGCGCCGGCGCCGGCGCCGGCGACGCGAATTAACACAAGTAGGCATGCCATGCATACATGCTCCATTGACTTCCTGTAGTGGCATGTTGCAATGTTCTCCGATCCACTGACTGCAATTAATGGCTGCCAGGTATACCTATCGATCGAATTAAGACTCAAAACAATATATAGGTCTTTGTGCTAATAAGATTAACCGTACGTGTCAACGTCGGCGTAGGCGGAGGAATCGGAAAACACAAATAGGAAGCGCATGCAGAAACAAGAATTACCAGAGACCATATAGCTGAGCAAAGCTGAACATGCAGTGGTGGAGTATAGTGTCGTCGTACCTTCGGCCAAGTCCAACGTCTGCTCGGCTTTTCCTTCTTCCTCGACCATCCTTGGATCCAATCCGGTCCAGGCCAGCCGCATGCAGGATCCAGCGTCAGAACGTTTTTATAGATCGATGGACCATGTTGGTGCCTCGATCGCCCCGCGGGCCGTGACCCTTGTCCACTCTTATCATTGTTTAGTTCACTGTCAGTCAGAACTCACAACTGACAGGAAACATTGGACAAACCAACAATTTTAGTTTTAGAAAAAAAGACACACACCAGACGGTGCAAAATATATACTGGTGGAAAAAATTACAAGAGTCTATTTGAGAACGAGAGCTTTTACAGTGTTTGCATTCCAAAAAGAGTAAAAATTCAACGCTTCTCAATAACAGGTATCATGTAAAAAATATTTAAGTATTAGTGTAGGTACTTAGGTATCAAAGATAGAATATTAATTTTCTAGTAGAGAGAAAATGGCAGAATTGTCCTCAAATTTGAATTGGTACCTCATAGGTACCACTTAAGTCATTTACCAGGTACTAGCGTATATATTCTCTTTTGCGTTGTTTCATGTAGATTTACGATTTACATTGTGTTCTTTGAGGTTTTTAATTGTGTGATTTTCTCTAGATTTACATTTTGTTCAAGAACACATTATTAGCGTAAAAACTCTCATTTGCGTGGTCTTCTATAGATTTATGTTTTGTCCAAAAGAACACATTCAATGCATAAGTCAATGCCTTTTACGTTTTTCCTACCGACCGGTACTGGTTCAGTCCAGCCAAGTATTCCATCCAATTAAAATGCCCATATTTTACTTAATAACTTCACTGCCATCGGTTACAATAATTTTTATTCTGTACCTTACCCCCCCTCTCGATCAATGGTCCACATTACTCCACCTCTCAATACCTCTAAATACCTTGCAAACACAATAAATCTGTTTGTACTCTATCTTTGATACCTAAGTACCTACACTAATACTTAAATACTTTTTACATGATACCTGTTATTGAGAATTAAATACTTTTTACATGATACCTATTATTGAGAAGCGTTGGGTTTTTACTCTTTTTGGAATGCAAACACCGTAAAAGCTCTCGAGTCTATAAACAGAAAAAAAAAACACACACACACACACCAACAAGTTCTGACAACTCCTGAACACCAACACGAAAAAAGAGGTTAACAGCTAGCCGGCCACCACTATGTGTGGCCGGTCGCCTTTTTTTTACGTGATCGCTATGATAGAACTACATGTCGCTTTTAACAAATCAAACTGGACTTTTCTGTGAAATTTTGTAGAGTTTACAAAGTGAAACTATATATTTTTTAATAATGAAAAGGGAAAATTTCTTTTAACCTTGCTATGATAGACCTACATGTCTCTTTTAACAAATCAAACTAGACTTTTCTGCGAAATTTCGTAGAGTTTACAAAGTGAATTTATATATATATTTTTAATAATGAAAAGGGAAAATTTCCAGAGTCCATTTTTCACCTTCGGGTACGAATCTATTGTTTAAAACATGACAAACAACTCCTTAAAACCTACTACCTTTCGTTCTAAAATATAACTATTCTAATACTACAAATTTGGACAGTTATTTAGAATTTAGGTGGTTCGTTTAGTTCGTATGCATATTTTTGAGACGTCAACGTTACTTGGTTAGATCCATAGTCATGTAAGTTACTTGATTGAATTGAAGCTCATGTTAGTGAAAAACCATGATCATATTGACCAAAAGTACCATATAGTATGGTTTAAGGTGGTTTTTTTTCTTTTCAGTTTTGTTTGTTGAGAAAACAATCTGTATTGTAGTTTAGACTGAAAAATTGTATTTTGAGGTAGAAAAAATAGACTGAAATAGTATACATCTCTGGCTTTTGTCATTGGACGCATAGCCTGCGAAAGAAAGAGAACAGTGTGACGAAATAAACCCGCACTCTTCCCCTCAAATACAAACTACAATACACAAACGCATAGCTTGAACTAATACAAATACTATGTCACCATAATAGAAACTTAGATATATACGTTTTGTAAGTACTATATATATTGTTGCTTTCAATAGAAGCAGGGCCATCTTGGCCTTCTCACTAAAAAGGTACTATATATATTTGGTACCTAACTATACCCATCAATATACGCTATTATAATATGGTCGACGTGATCAAACGATTCGTAAATTCTTTTGAGAGTGCCGAGTGATGAGGATTCAAGAAAAGATATTAAGTTACGTTGATAACTAATTTCATAATAAAAATGCTCAAAATAAAAACAAATACAATACTCTCTTCATCATCTCAAAAGATACCAACTTCTGACATTCGAAATTTGACCCAAATATAACAGCATTTTCACATAATCTATCATCTTATAATCATCTTTATTTAACTTCTTCAATTCATCTACATTTTTCTTGAACCAATCATAATGTTTTCCATTTAATTTCACCTACTTACTTAATTAATACATGTATATATTTAACTCTATAAGTTTTTTATTTTGTGATGGATGGAGCAGTTTTAAGACTTCTACAGCAAGCATTCCTCATTCTTTTCTTCACAAGTACTACTAGGAGTATAACCGGTTACCGTGCATACTTCCTCCATTCTAAAAGAAAACAACCTTATACGAAATGTGACACTTAGTATTTGTGTAGGGTCAATCTCATAGATGTAAGTTTATTTTAGGACGTGATGGAGTATAAGATAGATATATAAGTAATATACGACGTTGCTGATATGATGAACTCGATCATATATATTGTTGGAAATATAGTCATTAATCGGCATATTTTAGTCCAAGAAAAAGAAACAATGATCATGGCATAAGCAGTGTAGGGTGATCTTAACATAACCAGTAGCATACTATGCGCATCATGAATGTCAGGAACAGGAGCATACCAGTAACGCGATAATATGCTAGAGGCATCATGTAGAACAGGAACAGGAACATAGTATAGCGCTAACAATGGGAACAGGAGGAGAAGATTATACCCAGCCTCCGTTGTTGTAGTCGTTCACGGCACCTCCTCCTGGCGCACCAGCTCCGGATCCAGCTCCAGCTCCTGTCGGCGGCGGCGTACCACCTTCGCCAACAGAGGCGGCAGCAACTCCAGACATGGCGATGAGCAGTCGTGCGGGAGGCACTCCCCAAAAACCTGATCACCCGCCTACCCGGTGCAGATCTCAGGCGAAGGTGTGGTTTCGGAGGCACTGCTCCTTCCAATCTCTCGTGCGCGCAAGAGATCAGAAGCGGGGAAGCGAGAGCAACTTAGGCGCGGAGAAGGAGAAACTAACACCGGGAAAGAAGCGAAGAAATCGGATCGGACTCGCGGCCTCCTTATCTATCAGGAGAAAGAACGTGGACGCGCTATTGCGGAGGGAATCGTGGGAACGTGGGTTAGTGGCTGCAAAAGGATTGCGATGTGACGTGACGCACGCACGCCGCCAGCCACGCCTCGCCTCGCCCACGCCCACGCCCACGCCCACGGCCCGGCCCGGCCCAGCGCGCGCGCGCGCGTGGCATTCCGACCCCCACCTCAACTGGTCAACAGGGAGCCTCTAATAACTCCCTATTTAGGTTGAGATATTTCTCGCTTAAATCCTGAGGTGGTATTATTATCCTCAACATTTATTATGGGCCTTTGAGATTTAATATTATAAATTGGGCCTAGCCCAATTATTCTAACAATCCCCACCAAATTTCAAGGCTCATAAGAAATGTTCTCAATGTTGTGCCTGTTTGATATACCAGGGTTTTGGTGGAGACTGTTAAGTTGAACTTTCACCTAGGAAATGAGCTACATCAGACCACAACTGAACAATGGACTATGCCTTGAATTGTAAGTTTTGTGTGATCAGGTTTCACTCAGAACCTTGACTGGTACTGGGCTGCCGTTCGCATCCCCTCTGTTTGGAGCATATAAGTCAAACTCCAGGCCTTTCATGAGTATCTAGAGATTGCCCAAACCTCATAGACTGTGACTAGCAGTCGAACTCATATAGGTGTGTTCCTTATGAGATGTTCTGCAGGTCAACATCTCTGCTTGGAAAAGCCACTCGGATCACATTAAGACATAAGCCATCCTACCATGCAGGAAAGAAGAGAAGCACATCATGAAAATGAGCCCTTTTCAAGGGTCTCTTCTCTCAGTTACACAATAGTTTGTTTCACCATCCAAATTCACGGGATCTCCGATCACAATGGACAGGTTTCCACTATTATGCAACCTTAGGTGGGTATCAAGCCCATTTCCCTCGATGCACTGTCTATCACATTACGTGGTAGCCCCTTGGTAAACTGATCTGCCAGATTTCTAGCCGTTTGGACATAGTCCAATGCTATCACTCCGGAGTTTTTCTGCTTTCTGACAGATTTCAGTCTTCTCTTGATGTGTCTAGATGACTTCATGTTGTCCTTTGAACTGTTCACTTTAATAATCACTGTTTGATTATCGCAGTTCATTAGGATAGCTGGCACTGGTTTTTCAACCACCGGCAAATCCATCAGGAGTTCACGAAGCCACTCAGCCTCAACTGTCGCAGTATCTAGTGCTGTAAGTTCTGCTTCCATTGTTGACCTCGTTAAGATGGTCTGCTTGCAAGACTTCCAGGAAACAGCGCCACCTCCAAGTGTGAACACATATCCACTTGTGGCTTTTATTTCATCAGCATCAGATATCCAGTTTGAGTCACTATACCCTTCTAATACTTTTGGATACCCGGTATAGTGAATTCCATAGCTCATAGTGCCCTTTAGATAGCGCATTACTCTTTCCAGAGCCTGCCAATGATCATCTCCCGGATTTGAGACAAACCGGCTCAGCTTGCTTACAGCAAATGAGATGTCAGGCCTCGTTGCGCTAGCCAAGTACATCAATGAACCAATGATTTGAGAGTATCTCAGTTGATCCCTTGCTATTCTTCGGTTTTTCCTTAATAGCACGCTGGGATCATAAGGAGTAGGAGCTGGCTTGCAGTCACTATATCCAAAGCACCTTGTCCACATAGTGGGATTGCACAAGTGTAATCCCACCCTCATCTCCTCTTTGTAGTTTGATGTTAAGAATAACATCAGCCTCTCCCAAATCCTTCATTTCAAAATTCTTGGACAGATAGTCTTTGACCTCCTCAATCA